AGAGCTCACTGAATTACTTTAAGCCAAAGAAACAATGACAAAAAAAGCAAACGTTAAAAGAGCCCAGTGGTTTGATAGGATATCAAGAGATCCTTTAATCCCATTTTCTCCAAGAAGCAACCATCCCATTTGGGTGGTCTTTCCCATTTTGAGGTCTTCCAAGGTTCTAACAGTCAGCTTTGAGCCAGAAACATTTCTTTAGGTCTAACAGAGCTTAAGCAAAGCATGTGATTGATCACAGCGCTTCATCTGCAGTAAAAATCCCATTCTTCTTTGCACTTTCTCCAAACGTGAATAACCGTTAGTATGTTTATCATGAAAGGCCAATCTCCCCACCCCATAATACTTACAACTCTCAACGGGAAAGCCCTGCATGGACGGTGGCACAGTCTCAAAGTTTGTGTCCCCACCCCCTCCAAAAAATTCATATATTGGAACCTAATCACCAAAGGGATCGTATTAAGAGGTGGGGCTTTTGGGTGGTGATTAGGCCATGAGGGGTGGGGAGACCTGCTAATGGGACTAGAGCCCTTATGAAAGAGGGCCCAGAGAGCTGCCTATCCCTTCTACCCTATGAGGACACAGAGAGAAGGGCCATCTATGAACCAGAAAATAGCCCTCAGCAGACACCGAATCTGCAGGAGCTTGATTTTAGACTTCCAAACGCCAGGACTGCAAGAAATACACTTCCACTGTTTATGAGTCACCCGGGCTATGGCATTTCCTTAAAACAGCCTGGACAAACTAAGACCAGTGGGCACAGCACAGAGCAAGGGAACTTCACTTAGCCACTGAGAGAAAGGGCTGCAAACAAGTGGCGCTGAAGTGAGCAAACCATGCACATCCCCGTCACATCTTCCGTTACCCATCACATGATGACACATGTGCAGCAGCAGTAACTTTCTGCGCTGCGACCTGGGAAACTCCCGCAAAGAACCAGTCCAGTTCCTGTCTTCAGGGAAGTTGCCATATATTCTTGCTTTCTGTTTCCTCCCAAATTTCCCCTTTCTTGCCTCTTCTGCCTCTGTCCCCTTCTCTCCGCCACCTCCCTTCACTCCCTTCCTTCCACTCCGTCTTCTTACCCTTCCTCTGCTCCTCTCTCCCATAATCTTTGTTAGATGCACACATACCACACCACCACCACAATGGCCACCACCACCACCAATGTCACCATCACCACCACCACCACCACAATGGCCACCACCACCATCACCATCACCACCACCACCACCAATGTCACCATCACCACCACCACCACCATCACCATCACCACCACCACCACCACCAATGTCACCATCACCTCGACCATCACCATCAGTCACCGACACCACCATCACCACCATGACCACCACCACCACCACCACCACCACAATGGCCACCACCACCATCACCACCACCACCACCACCACCAATGTCACCATCACCACGACCATCACCATCAGTCACCGACACCACCATCACCACCATGACCACCGCCACCACCACAATGGCCACCACCACCAATGTCACCATCACCACCACCACCACCACCACCAATGTCACCATCACCACCACCACCACCAATGTCACCATCACCACCACCATCACCATCACCACCACCACCACCACCACCAATGTCACCATCACCACAACCATCACCATCAGTCACCGACACCACCATCACCACCATGACCACCGCCACCACCACCACCTTCATCACCACCATCACTACCACCACCATCGTCATCACCAACACCATCACATTTATTTGTTCTATCAAGCAAGGAGCCAATTAAATACATCAACAAAGATCTGACATCTGTTCAGTGGCTGTTAAGGGTTAGAGGCGATGAAGATAGAAGAGAAAATATTCATCACTTCTTCAAATGCTAGAACCTCCTCCTGGTAAGAATGAGCAAGAGGCAGTTCCTCTTAGAATCCCCTGGATCAGCTTGGTCCTACACAGAGCAGGTGCTCTAAAAATCGCTGACCAAGGAGAAATTAGAAACAATCCTTAATTGTCTATAAAGAATCATTTTCTTAGAAGTAAGAAGTGTGTCTCAGAGGAAACATAAATAGACATATGAGGAAAATGGAAAATCTCTACCATGGCAGCACATCACCAAAAACAGAGGAGGAAGGCTGGGCGCGGTTGCTCAAGCCTGTAATCCCAGCACTTTGGGAGGCTGAGGCGGGTGGATCACGAGGTCAACAGATCGAGACCATCCTGGTCAACATGATGAAACCCCGTCTCTACTAAAAATACAAAAAATTAGCTGGGCATGGTGGTGCGTGCCTGTAGTCCCAGCTACTCAGGAGGTTGAGGCAGGAGAATTGCCTGAACCCAGGAGGCGGAGGTTGCGGTGAGCCGAGATCGCGCCATTGCACTCCAGCCTGGGTAACAAGAACGAAACTCCGTCTCAAAAAAAAAAAAACAGAGGAGGAAAACACCAACTTCTAGAGTTTATCAAATTCATATAACTTAGTACTTGGTCAGCTGCTCTAATGAGGGGCTTCGAGGCTTAAAATGAAATGAAATACACATAATAATCGTTCAGACATAAGAAAGAATCAACAGAATAAAGCCGTAACATGGTCGTTATTTATATTGCACCTTGTATTCTTAGGTGGGTATCCTAAAAACTGCATGATTGCATTTCTAGCACACGCTAATTTTTTTGTTGCCAGGAAAAAGAAAAGGCTTCATGTTTGGGCTTTATGACCAATTCTCTACCATTGGTTTTGACTGCAGGGTACCAGGCGGCCTTTTAGCCACACTGCTGCTCATAAACGGGGAAAGTCAGGAGGAGCTCTCCTTTATTCAAGCAGAATTTTTTAAGTAAACATGATTAAATGTGATCTCAACTAGAATTTCTATAAATTATGCATGTCATTGATCATAACGAAACTTAGTAACAAGAGTGAAAACAAGGTATTTTAAGATGTTATTAGTAACACTTTTGGGTTAAAATGTCTGGTCACAGCCTCCTACTCCTTAATCACATTGCCCAATAATCCCACTCTACTTTCTCAAATCAGAAGTTATACAGATATTTTCTGAGTAAGAGTTAATTTAATCTTGATCTGTGAAATAGTTTTTCCTCAGAATGTAGAATGCCATGACCATCAGTACCACTGCTCAGGAGAAGCCTGTTTAAATCAGGTCTCGGGGATGAGAAGGTCAGTTTGCAGCAGGAGGAATCTGCTTTCAGCCTCACGCACTCTTCAGTCTTTACCTGCTGGGTCAGAGCCAGCACACGTGTGGCAGAAAGAGACAAGGCTGGCGCAGCACTCTGGCAGGTTAAGGGAGGGATTATAACAATGTTGTTGCTTGTCTTTTTTTTTTTTTTTTTTGAGACGGAGTTTCACTCTTGTTACCCAGGCTGGAGTGCAATGGCGCGATCTCCGCTCACCGCAACCTCCACCTCCTGAGTTCAGGCAATTCTCCTGCCTCAGCCTCCCGAGTAGCTGGGATTATAGGCACGCGCCACCATGCCCAGCTAATTTTTTGTATTTTGAGTAGAGACAGGGTTTCACCATGTTGACCAGTATGGTCTCGATCTCTTGACCTCATGATCCACCCGCCTCGGCCTCCCAAAGTGCTGGGATTATGGGCGTGAGCCACCGCGCACAGCCCAACAATGTTGTCTTAAAGGAGAACCAAAAGAGCCTTCCAGAATCACAACAGAGATGGCAAAGACAAAACATGATGACTACACTTTTCCTCCAAGTATGCATGTCAGCGGCTCTGCACGCTCTCAGTTGACCCAGGCACACCTCCTGGTGAGGCGCACAATCAGCATAGCCCGCCTTTCCTCACCTTTCCAGATCTTTTGATCTCACCTCCCAGCTAAGTTTGAATGCAACACGGAGTGACCTGCAATGCCCTCTGACTTCACTGAGGATGACCCTCATTTCCACCCTAAAGGTGGGAGGCTCATCTCAAGCACCCATAGCCACGCCCATGCCAAGGACCCTCAATGTTACAGGCTTTGGGAGGAGGTGAGGACAAGTAAAAGTAAAGATAAACTAAGCTCTGAAAAGCACTGTAGATACGTCTGTGATCACTAAGCCCTGAAAAGTCCCGTAGACACGTCTGTGGTCACTAAGCCCTGAAAAGTACCGTAGACACGTCTGTGGTCACTAAGCCCTGAAAAGTACCGTAGACACGTCTGTGGTCACTAAGCCCTGAAAAGTACCGTAGACACGTCTGTGGTCACTAAGCCCTGAAAAGTACCGTAGACACGTCTGTGGTCACTAAGCCCTGAAAAGTACCGTAGACACGTCTGTGGTCACTAAGCCCTGAAAAGTACCGTAGACACGTCTGTGGTCACTAAGCCCTGAAAAGTACCGTAGACACGTCTGTGGTCACTAAGCCCTGAAAAGTACCGTAGACACGTCTGTGGTCACTAAGCCCTGAAAAGTACCGTAGACACGTCTGTGGTCACTAAGCCCTGAAAAGTACCGTAGACACGTCTGTGGTCACTAAGCCCTGAAAAGTACCGTAGACACGTCTGTGGTCACTAAGCCCTGAAAAGTACCGTAGACACGTCTGTGGTCACTAAGCCCTGAAAAGTACCGTAGACACGTCTGTGGTCACTAAGCCCTGAAAAGTACCGTAGACACGTCTGTGGTCACTAAGCCCTGAAAAGTACCGTAGACACGTCTGTGATCACTAAGCCCTGAAAAGTACCGTAGACACGTCTGTGATCACTAAGCCCTGAAAAGTACCGTAGACACGTCTGTGGTCACTAAGCCCTGAAAAGTACCGTAGACACGTCTGTGGTCACTAAGCCCTGAAAAGTACCGTAGACACGTCTGTGGTCACTAAGCCCTGAAAAGTACCGTAGACACGTCTGTGGTCACTAAGCCCTGAAAAGTACCGTAGACACGTCTGTGGTCACTAAGCCCTGAAAAGTACCGTAGACACGTCTGTGATCACTAAGCCCTGAAAAGTACCGTAGACACGTCTGTGGTCACTAAGCTCTGAAAAGTACCGTAGATACGTCTGTGGTCATTACCTTTTTCTTGGATGTTTCAGACTTCTTTGACATGCTCTTCAACTTTTTGTGCAAATGATTAAGGACCTGAAAGACACAAATGAAATCAGTTCACCTCGCCTCTCACAACCCACTGCCTATTTTGGATTAACCATTATCGACATGCTGAAATGGTAACATCATTATTTGTGAGACCATTCAGATTAGGTGATTAGGCGACAATGAATACGAGTTGCCAAATCCATTCTTTTCTAACATGTAGGGGTGCCCCAGGAACAAGTTCACAGCCAGAGCACCTGTTTGCAGGGAGTGCCCAGTACATGGAGCTCTGGGGTTTTGTCTAGAAAGAACCATGCCATGACCCACTCATGCATGCTTCTTAGTCTATTGTCTGCCTCAGTTTCCCCCAGGAGCCCACATAGTAACAAACACCAGGTCCATGCTACATGTCAGGCACAATGTCAGATCCTGGATATGTCAAAAAACTGGAGGTTTGCCCTTCCGAAATTCATCATCTGATGGGGAAAGAAGTCAAGTAAACAGAGGACGACGGTATCATCAGATGTGTCTTCAGTGCAGCCAGGCCAAAGATGGCCTGCGTTTGTGCCAAAATCGTCTTTCTTTCTTCCTCATATCGGCCGCCTCCACTGCAATTTTGTCGGCCAGTCACCACCCACTAGGCCTCCTTTCATCCATTACTCAAATCCTACCCACTGTGCTGTGCTTTTAGACAGCTCATTGGGGATTCGGTATCACTGATGATTTATAAACCATTTTTGCAAGGTTTTAAAACGAGTGTCCCTGTCAGGGAATCTCCTTGAGACACAGTGGCTCCCATAGTTAAAGAAACCATTTTTGTCTTTTTTTTTTTTTTTTTTTTTGCCAATGTAATACTCACAAGAAATGTCATGAAAATTTGGAGGTTTTGATGTAGGAATTTCCAACGTATATTTGGTCTTAGACAAATTGTCAAGCCCACAGAACTGTTACTTAAGTTCATTTCCATATCCCAGCTTAGGGAAGATCCAGAAAAATCGAGCCCCAGGGTGGCTAAGTGCTTTAGATCATCTGTAGATTGCTGAGAAGTCTCTCAAGGAACCAGAAGCCATGTTCCGACCAGTTCTCTGCTCCCTGCAGCACGGCAGCATGGAAATCATTTAACTGAACTGAGCTTATTGCAAAAGCCCTTCCATTCAGCCAGAGGAGACACTTTCAGAGCAATTAGTCAGACCCTACCTGGAAGCCACCGGACATATTTACCAGCTGCCCAGGCCCTATACAGGTGAAGAAGAGGCCATCAGGAGGTATGAATTTCTGACTTCAAATTCTCTCCCCTTCTGAGATGCTTCCCACTTCCTGAAATGACTCAGCAACATCCACTACAAAACAAGTGTTTGCTTGCCACAGGAGCGTTTGGGAAAACACTCAACGCATCGACAAGGTATTCCTTCACTGTTCTGCCTGCAGACATCAGAGTACCAAACCCCGAATGCAAGGCAACCACAGAACGGGAGCTTTCCTGCAGGAGCAAATGAGAGCGTTTCAAAGGGGAAGGGAAGGGCTGCAGGAGGCAGGACCCTGCCCAAGAGGACAGGACTGCCTAGGTGGCTCAGTGGCAGCCTTCCCAATGGGAAACAGCAGGACAACACTGGCCACTGATGATAGGGGACCCAGGAGAGACCAGAGGACAGGCCACACAAGCAAAATCAGAGAGGGACACCTGGACAAATCACAACAAAACATCCAGATGTGACCAGCTTCATAACGCTGCCAAGCTCCATCCATTCCTTCCAAGAAGGAACTTGGATCCCAGCTCAGCCACTTCAGAACACTTCAGTACGTTGAATGCTGTTAAATAAAGAAAATACTCAAGGATATTTTTATTTGCTCTGTTTCTCTTCAATGGCTCACACTATGAGCACAGGATGATATATCATGGTGCACCCCAGTGAAGGTCTGGTCAGCAAAGTAGGAAGAATGTAGATATCATGACAGGTTATGACATGTTTAAGAAGACAGTGATAGTAGCATACTGGGGTCCCTTGCTGAGTCTGCCAGTTTCTGAGTGTGCACAGGAAGGTGCCAGCTCAAAGCAAACCCAGGTCCTGCTGGGCATACCCTGGGGATTTGGAGTGATTTAGTGGGCTGGGCCCATCGCGTTTATCCTCATGGTAGAACAAGGAGGTTCTGAACAGTAATTCACTCTAAGGAAGGTAACCTAGGGTCACAGCCCTGTACAAAAACAGCTCCACAGCAGCAGAGGGGAGGGGCTCCTCAGGGGACACTGGGCGGACCACTTCAACTCATCCTCCAGCCCATGTATTCGATGAGTTTCCCAGAAACTGGTGCAAAAAACTGTTCCGTTACAAACTTGTAAGAATTTGGAGGCAAAAGGCAACTCTGGAATGCAACTGTCTTGAGTGTTTTTGTTTGTTTAAAGCATCATAACCTCAGGTTCCCTTTTAGCCATCTGTGTTTTTTCAGGTCATCCAACAGACCTGGAGTTCGGAGAACAGCGAATCCTGAAACTCACACGCAAGTAGCAAAATCCTTAACTGGATGGTGCACACCTGATGCCTGAGCTAAAGAAAAACAGCTTGAAACAACGAATTATCTCCGCCTACCCATGACAGCCCTGAAATGAACTTGCAAATATGATGCTGAATGCAAAATATTTTTCCAGTTATGCTTGGAAGGAAACTATTTCCATATTTTAAAAATCCAAATTCATTACTTTTTTTAAAAAAACTGTTTTGTAAATTTTGCCCTTCTGTGTGACTTTTATAGACTTGCAAATGACAGAAATGTAACCTAATTTATTCCTAAAAGCTTATTTTGTCATTTCCAGTAAGAAGACTTTAGTTCTTCTCCCCAGAGGCTTCAGGGGCATAAGGAAGAATGTACTTCAGTTCTAATGCAGTAATTGGGAACTTGACAGCCATGTTTTCAGAATCCCATTCTCACACTTCAGTGTCCTCAAGGCCTCACCAACTGTCCTTTCCTCAGGAGACTGGGAATCCCTGTGTTAAATCCTTCCTGAATCATTCACCAGCTTCATAATCTGGGTCAGGTGTTCTTTTCTAAAGCTCTTTTTTCTTAAATAATAAAATCTGGGTAAATAATAAAATAGCCCCAAGCCACAGAGGTGTGCCAATTAAATGAGATGGTGCACATATCAGATAATTGTGCTATGTAAAATAGCCTTTGTTTAGCATTTGCAGAAGACCACATTAATAAACCAGCCATTTTCCAAATAGCTAAGGTAGAGTTATTTTCCAAATTCCCTTACTGCTACTATATTTCTTTTTTTTTTTTTTTTAAACAGAGTCTCGTTCCATCACCCAGGTTGGAGCGCAGTGGCGCCATCTTGGCTCACTGCAACCTCTGCCTCCCGGGTTCAAGTAATTCTTCTGTGTCAGCCTACTGAGTAACTTGGACCACAAGTGCCTGCCACCACGCCCTGCTAATGTTTGTATTTTTAGTAGAGACGGGGTTTCACCCTGTTGGTCAGGCAGGTCTTGAACTCCTGACCTCAGGTGATCACCTGCCTCGGCCTCCCAAAGTGCTACTATATTTCTTTATAATTGCCTTTTGGTGCAGGCTGTCCAGATAATATCCAAAAACATTACTATTCAAAATAGACACAATCTACAGAGATAAACTAGATGGAGAGAAACAGGTGGCTTATGGTAACATTTGTGTTGAGAAGAATACCTTGTGAACTGAGTGTTGAAAGTTCTTGTTCTACCTAGTTAGGTTATTTGTGGTTGTATAATCACAGCCTTATGGAAACAGAATGAGAGACAGAGATGTGAAGTCAGGTGGAACCTGGTAACAGAGCTGCATTTCCAATAGTGACGCCCTGGAGCTAGCAGGGTGGGGACACTGGGTTTACCCCTGAATCACCATCACCTGATTATTAAAATAAGCGCCTGTTTACGCAAGTAGAAACACGTGTGTCAAACGCTGAAGCCCTTTTCATCGGTATAGAATCTTCAAACCCTTGTGGACTTCATGAAAAAGAATGTGGGTGCTGAGCTCTGCCCGACTATACAACGGGAAAAGCCATCTCCCAGGAAGGGGGTCCCGGCCCGCTGAAGCCACACGCGTGGACGGGGCCTCTGCTACATTTAGGCGAAGATCCGCCGCCTCAACCTCTCCCCCCAGTCCAGGAGACCATTCTAAAAAAGATTGAAATGGAGAAGCCCACAGCTCGAGTCCATTCCATTCAAAGTTTCCTGGAGCCTGCCGTCAGGACCCTGTCAAGAAACACCTTTTTGCCTCTTGGGTTTATGAAGCTAAGTTTCAGAATAAATAAAATTCGAAGCTCTGTCCCTGGGATCAGCGGCTTCACACCGCCCGGAGTGCGCAAAGCCTTCGGAGCGAGGGCGAACTGCGCACCGCGAGGGTGGGGGGCCGCCCGCGAGTCACCCCCACAGCCGCTGAGAGCCCGGGAGGGGCGGTGGGGACCCGCCACCCCCGCGAAAGGCCCGCGCTCTGGTGACCACGCTCCCTCTCAGGTCCCACAGCCCTGCGGCGGTCACTTCCCCGAGAGCTGAAGTGGTTTGAGAGTAGCTGGAAGGGAGCCGGGTTTCCGGTGCTGGGAGGGATGCCGCCTCCCCCGCACATCGCCGCGGCAACCTGGGGGCGTTGAAGGTCCGCCGTGGCGAGGAAGGGGTGGGAGGGGAGGAGAAACTTGTTCTACCAGACCCCAAGGGCAAACTTTCCCCAGCACGTCTCACACTCCAAGTAACTTTCGGGCGCAAGCCAATGGCACGCTCCAGCAGAGGCCGGGGAACCTCTCTACCCAGATCCGCCCAGCACCGCCCGGGGCGAGGCCACGGCTTCGGCGGGGCCACCGGACCCTGAGACCCCCGGCATCCCCCACCCCCGCCCCTCGGCCCTCCCTCGCGCGTCACGGCCCCGCGCCCGCCGCGCCCGCCCCGCACCTTGGCGTAGCAGAAGCTGATGAGCAGGAGCGGCAGCAGGTAGCCGAAGACGAAGGTGCACACCACGTAGGCCTTCTTGTGGCGAGGGTCGGGCCACTGCTCCCAGCAGAAGGTCTGGTTGCTGGCGCGCGGGTGGAAGAGGCCCTGGTGGTAGGCCACCGGCGAGGCCATGGCGATGGACAGAGCCCAGATGCAGCCCACGCCCAGCAGCGCGTTGCGGGACACCCTGAGCGAGGAGGAACGCCGCGAGTGCACGATGGCCACGTAGCGGTCCACGGACATCGCGGCCAGCGTGAAGATGCTGACCAGCATGGACACGGTGAAGAAGTAGTGGGTGAACTTGCAGATGAAGGCGCCCAGCACCCAGGTGGGCAGCGCGTACACGGTGGCCTGGAAGGGGATGCAGAAGAGCAGGTAGGCCAGGTCGGCGATGCTCAGGTTGAGGATGAACAGGTTGGTGATGCTCCGCGGCTTGCCCGGCTTGCTGCGCGCCAGCACGGTGATCACCAGGCTGTTGCCCAGCACGCCCAGCGCGAAGATCAGGCCGAACACCACCAGCGTGGCGAAGTTCTCCGCGCCGATGCGGAACAGCGGCCGGCGCTCGCGGGCGGAGGGCTCCGGCCAGCTAGCGTTGCCCTCGCTGAGGTTCCCGGCCGCCAGCTCCATGGCTAGCGGGGTTGCCCAGGCGAGCGGCGGGGCGCGCCGGGACCGAGGGACGGCGGGTGCGTGGCGGCGAAGGTGGGCGCCGGGGGTGGCCGGGGTCCCGGCGCGATGCAGGGAATGCGGGAGTTTCCGAGCCTGGGCTTCCTCGGAGGCGCGCGCCGGCAGGGGCAGGGATCAGGCGGCCGCGCCTGGTGGCACCGTCTTCGCGCCGGGTCCTTCTGAGAGAGGGCGGGTCGGGAGCGTGGAGCCGGACCTTCTCGGGAAGGGCAGTAGTCTCGAGAGCTCTGGGGTCCCCTGCCTGGGCGCCTCCGCCCGCCGCGCGACCACGTAACCTGGGAGGAGGTAGAAAGGCTTCCCGCGCCTTACCGCTGCAGATCTCCGCCGGCCGTTTTCCCTCGATCCGGCGGCGCTGCGGGCTGCACCTGTTGCTCAGAGCCGCTCCTTCCCGCGGCGTTTCCCGGCACCTGCCGGGAGCTCAGCAGCGGAGCCGACGCTCCAGCAGACAGGGCCCCCCGCGCTCCCCACGCTCCGCGCCCCCTCGCCGGTGGGCTGGCGCCGCCAACTTCCTCCCGGCCTCTGCAGGGACTCCGAGTCGTCCACAGGGCGAGAGCGCTTTTGGGGGCTTCCTGGCGGTGGACGGAGTCGGGTGCCAGAGGCCTCCCTGCTGCCACCGAGGGGCGAAGACAGCCCGGCTGAAATCCGCGCCCCTGGAAATCACAGTGCTGGAGCGGAGACCGGACGGATTCGAGCAGGATAGGTCGCAGCCCACCTCCTGGCTGGACCCGGCTCGCGCTCGCCTCCGAGAGGTGCCGACCTGCTCCACTGGCGGGCGGGGGGCGGGGGTGTGGCGGAGGGGTGCGCTGCGCTCCTCACCCGTCAGTGCCTCTCCTGCTCCTCCTCCTGGGGTGTCAGTCCGCGAGAACGCGTCTGTCGGAGGAGTAACCCCAGGAAACCGAGGCTGACGCGGCTACCTGGAGTTTTGTAAAATTCGCCCCCTAATCCCATCCTGAGCCCGCGGCTTGCTAGGGAGGGGCAAGTGGGAGGGAAGGAGGTGCGTTAAGCTTCTCTGTAGACTTGGATGGCATTGAAGGGGAAGGCTGCTCAGGCCACTCAACCTCACATCATGTGCCTCGCATTACTCATCTGAGGGACATAACTGCAGCAATGACAAACACAATATTTTTTAGGTGAAAGAACATGTTTAGTATCTTACTGCCGTAAAATGTGAATTTGCCAGAAAGGAACTAAGCCGTTTCCGGACAGAAGGGTTAGGGGCATTATCTTTGTAACCTTGGTGGTTCCCAACTAGAGAGCTGACACTAAATCCTTTGTTTGCAGTGATTTGTCTGTTTTTCACTTTCAAAAGCACCGATGCATTTCCAGCATTCTCCATCTGGCGATTGTCCTTGTTGTCCGGACACAGTGCCTGAGGGAATGGGTAATCCAAAGGCCAAAAAGGACAGGGGCTATTTGCCTTGAGGAGTTGGGGGAGTAGGATGATATTTTTCTATCTTGCCAGCTCTGTTCTGCCTCATTTCCAGATGAATTTTGATGCAGTTCATTGAACACCTATGTATTTTATCACTCATTGCTAGGGACTTCCTTGCAAGGGGATTGTTCTATTTACACTAATTTTCTGGAAGACAAACTGACTGTAAGCAACTTGCCTATTTAGGTATCTTGCTAAAGCCAAGAGTGCTCTTACCTACCCTGACCTGAGACAATGCCTTGAAACTTCCTTAGCTGATCTTGCCAGTCAGTATTGCTTTTATTCCCTAAGATGCTCTCTGACCCAGGCTTTCCAGGTATCCTGTTGTATTGGACAGTTCTGTTGTGTTGAAAGTCAGTTGCCACAGAGCGCGGTGGCTCAGGCCTGTACTCCCAACACTTTGGGAGGCCCAGGTGGGCGGATCACCTGAGGTCAGGAGTTGGAGACCAGCCTGGCTAACATGCTGAAACCTTGTTTCTACTAAAAATACAAAAAATTAGCCCGGCGTGGTGGCTCGTGCCTGTAATCCCAGCTACTCGGGAGGCTGAGGCAGGAGAATCACTTGAACCTGGGAGGCGGAGGTTGCAGTGAGACGAGACCTCTCCATTGCACTCCAGCTTGGGCAACAAGAACAAAACTCCATCTCAAAAACAGAAAAATAATTGTAATATGAGATTTGGGAGAGTTTTTAAATTATGAACTATTTTGACATGAAACAGATAATAAAATTACATTGACTACCAATGTACCCACCATACAGGTTGAAATAATTTTTAAACATTCTTAATAGAGTTGAAGTCACTTGTACATACTTTCAATCACAACCTCCACCTCTCCCACTGTCTCCAAGTAACCTACATTTGTTGTCAGTCACTGCTTTATACATTTTTGGCATATATGCATATGATCTTAAATAATATATTGTGGTGGGTTTTTTTTTTTTTTTTTGCTTTAACATTATGTGGTTGGTATTATGGTACATGTTTTGTTTTGGTTTATCCTTGAAGTATAATTCGTCTGTTATTACTACAGGTTCACCAATATTCTTTGCTTTGTATTTGCCTCTTACATCTTTTGCCACCTTCTTATGTTATGTCCTGTGACTTAAAGGTATCTCTTTACTACAGCCCATAACTGAATTATTTTAAAACGCAATTTGACAATCTCTAGTTTTTAACTGGCGAGTTTAGGTCATTTATATTTATTGCTATTACTAATCTACATGGATTTATTTTTAACATTTTATTTTGTACTTTTTATTTGTTTTCTACTTCTGTGCTTTTTCTCTGTTTTCATGATGTCTTTCCAATTGCATTTTAAAGCATTTTCTCCCTTCCTCACTCCCTCCCTTCCTCCATGTCCTTAAACAAGGAAGAAATGTGGTCTACTTTTATTATTTCACTCGTTACCCTTGAGTGCCTACTACATGCCAGTAACTACTGTAGGTTTTGGAGATAGAGCAATTAACACAATAAAGTTCTTTCTTTTACTGATTTTACACTTTATTATGGGCACGACATTTAAAAAGAAGCAAAATAATAATATAGAAGTAAAATGTGGTAAATGCTATTGATACAGTTTAGATATCTGTTCTTGTCATCTCATATTTAATTGTCCCTAATATTGGAGGCGGAGCCCAGCAGGAGGTTTTAGGGTCAATGAGGGGATCCCTCATGGCTTGTACTGTCCTTGGGACAGAGAGCCTCAAGATCTGGTTGTTTGAAAGTGTGAGGCACTTCCTCCCTTCTCTCTCTTGCTCCTGCTTCTGCCATGTAAGATGTGCCTGCTCCCCCTTCACCTTCTGCCATGATTGGACACTTCCTGAGGTATCCCTAGAAGCTGAGCAGATGCCAGCACCTGTACATTCTGCAGAAGCGTGAGCCAATTAAACCTCTTTCATTTATAAATTACCCAGCCTCAGGTATTTCTTATGCCAACACAAGAATGGCCTAATACAACCCTAAAAGAGAAGAATAAGAGATAGAGAGCAATCAGAGTGTCACGATATACAGGATGATCAGGAGGAATGTCGGAAAAGCTGGCAATTGAGCAGGAACCTGAAGGAAGTACAGCAGGAAGCTTTTTCAACATGCGGTGTGACACATTCCTGGGAAACAGTGCAGCAGAGGAAGCTGTGTGAAGAACACGGAGGCCAATTTTGCTGTCATGGAAACAGCTGGGAAGAAGGTTTATCCACCATGAGATCAGAAAACATTGGTTGGGAAAAGTGGGGTTGGATGACCTTGGACCTCAGAAAGCAAGAAAGGGGCCCAGGACTTCATTCTGAGTCCAAGGAAGTCTTGTAGGGAGCTTCAAGCAGAGAGATGTTATGGTCAGACCTGCGATTCAGAATGACGATTCTGGTGTGCAGATTAGAAGAGCAAAGGAAAGAGCAGAAGACCAGCCAGTAAGCTTTCATGAACCCAGAACAGATCATTCTAGGTATGGAGGGAAGGGCTTGCATTCTGGGTATCTCAATGTTGGAGAAAATGAGATTCGTTGGTGGGTGGATTTAAGGTACAAGAAAAGGGAGAGTCAGGCTGACTCCCACTGTTTTAGTCAACCTTGGAGTTGGACATCGTGGAGGGGAAATCACCATTTACTGAGTTGACACAGAGTGGAAGGAATGGGTTTGGAGGTGGGGAGCATCAAGTTAAATTTTAGGTGCTTGTTAGAGGTGGGATTGACAAGATTGCCATTGGGCGGGGTAGTCTTGAGTTAATGAGAGAGACCAGAGCTACAGACATGGATTCAGAAGTTACTAAAATTCTATTAATATTAAATAGAATTGAAAATTGTTATCATGCCCCTCGTCCCAGGCCATACAAGTTTCAGGAAGCTTTCTAACCCCGGTCACCTTTTCTCATTCTACCTGGTTTTGTTGCCAGTGGTTTAATTTCCCCCCAATTAGGCATATTTGTTCTTGTGTGACACAGACACTATCCATCTGGCTAACCCATATTCTACCCATGGCTTCCTTCACCTTCCTCTGTTCATCTGAAGCCTTTTCCTTATTTTTAGACAATGTATTTCTAGTTTTCCTTTAGCTGTAGTCAATGATAAAAATTGATCATTTTTCTTCCAAATGGCCCTTATTATTGAATGGGAATTGGCCAGATGGACAGTTCTTTTCTACACGTACGCTGAAGATATTGTTCCACCTTCTAGGTTTTCTGTCGCTCTTGAGAAATCAGCTGATATGCTATCTTTCACTCCTTCAGAGACAATCTGACATTTTTCTGTATGTTTAACATCTTCTCTTTATCACTGGGGTTTTATAATTTCACTTTGATATGCTTCTGATGATTTTCATTTTTTAGCCATTTTTGTTGAGCTTTGGAAGCTAAAGATTAATATATTTTTGTCAGCTCTGGAAAATTTTCAGCCATTATCTCTTTTACTTTTGCAATTCTTGGGACTCTCTCCTGCTGGAGTTCTGAGAGATGGAGCTCAGGCCGTTTCACTGTCTCCTTCCTATTTCTGACTTCCTTTTTCATGCTTTTCATCTGTGCCAATGTATTGGTATTTCTTCAGCTGCACACCCTTTATTTAATATTCTCCTTAAGTTCTCACAGATACTTTTCAAATGTGCCAGGCCTATTTTTTAATATTTTCTTCCTTATTGCTGATGTTTCTAATTGCCTCTCCTATTTATTTGAATATTTAAATGTGCTGATTTTATATTCTGAAAATTCTAATATCTGAAGTCGTTGGAGTCTGATTATGCTTTTATTATTTCTACTGAGTTCCTATTCTCATAACTTGTTTCCAGTTTGGTTTTGTTTTTGTCCTTTAGATTTCCATTTGGCCAGAACACATGTATGATGATTTTATAGACCCGAGTTGAGAGCTCCCATGGAAGTTTTCATTCGCTCTGCCATTGACCCAATGGCACCATCAACTCAGGACATTTTTAAGTTAATTTCTAAGCATGACATGCCTCAGGACACACAAGGGTAAATTCAAACCCCAAAACCTGCATAAGAGAGGGAATGGGGGAGTGAATTCCTAGAGCTTTCCCTCCCACCTGGCCCTGAGGCTGCCCCAGAGTTTTCTAGGTGTTTGTGGGCAGATTGCTTTGCTGCTTCCTCTCATTTCCTGTGCTCCCTGTTGGAAGATTCTGTAATCCTGCCTCTCCCAGGTGACGTTCTGTGCTCCTCTCAGGGCAGAAATAAATGAGTCTTACCCATTTCTTTCAGGCTTTTGCTGAGAAAACATGAGTGCAACAGCTGTGAGGTCATCCTGAGCTCAAGGTCTAAGGGGTGCCATGGGATTCATTCCTCGGGTACAGAAACTGCCCATCCTGATGCAGGCTGCTTCTTTGAGCTGTGTTCTTGATAAATATGTAGCTCTGGATTTCAGTTAACCCTGGTTAAAATGTCCCCATAGCAAGAAATAAACTTTGTGGCTGTGAACTACTTGTTACTGCAGATTAATGCAGCAAAAGCCAACTACAGCATTTCTTTGCC